CTGCACAGAGACAATAAGATCTGATTGAATCTGAAAGACTTATTTGGTCTTATTTCATCTTTAGTTTTTTTTTATTATTATTTGCATTGATGGTTCTATGAAGAACCTTTAACATGGAATCTTTTCATTTCACAAAAGGTTCAGGTTCACAGAAGGTTCTTTAGAATATTAAAATATAAAAAGTAAATTTTTATGCAATAAACTACTAGGGGTGTTGAAATGAATCATGTCTATGATACATCGTGATGCTGCGGAGGTGGTCGATTCTGCATCGATGCAGTAATAGGCCATAATCGATTATAGTTTATCGATTATAATTCAAATTAAATTAAAAGAGTAAAATTTGTGTTTATTGTTGCGCTAGGATTAATTTATTCTTTAATATCATTTTATTAAATGATTTTACAACATTTTTATAATAGTTAATTATATTATTTGAATAATTTTGTTTACATTTTAATCATTTTAATAATAATAATGTAATTTGTAATGTTGTTTTATTTATTTATTTAACCAATTAAATACCATTTCCCATTGTATATAGTATGTATTATTATGCACAATATCTCATTATATGTAAACACTTTAACAATATGATTCTAAATGTATTTTTCAGGCTAATAAAGCACACAAAATTTCAAATTGAAGAAGAAAATCAATAACATTTATATAAAAGCCAAAACAACAACTATGATTACATCAGTCAGTCTTACAGGTGGTAGTGTGTGGTTGTGGAAGGTGTGTTGTGCGTTCCAGCCCCTGGGGGCCCCTCGAGGGTCCTCATACTCCGGCGACAACCAGCGGGCGTAAGGGGTGTTTGCTGCCCCCCATTGAGGGTTTCCTCTGCAAAGTCAAAAACAGCATTGATAAAAGAAAATATGATGCTTTCTGAGAACAGAAACTGAATGAACAATGATATATTTTGTTATCGAGTGCACCTGTTGTTGCAGTGTCCTGTGATGGTACGGTAACGTTTGGACAGACAGTCAGATTTACACACGGGTCTCAGTGTCTCTGAGGAACAGCCTGTAACCTGCAGTATGGTCTCCATGTCTTCTGCACTTAAAAGCTCTGAAACGCACACATCAGATGTTGATACGATTTCAAAATCATGTACTTGTAAATGACCCAAATGTCTGTGTGTGTGTGTGTGTGTGTGTGTGTGTGTGTGTGTGTGTGTGTACCGGTGGGGGCGGGTATGTCCATGGAGTGTGTGTAAACCATCTCTCTAATCAGCTCTACCGTATTATCCAGAAACTCAGCAGATCTGACGTGGGTTCTGGTTTTGGGGCCGGTTTGTTTGAACAAGGCCAGCAGATCACTGGGTCGGACAGAACCGTTTGATACGGACGTCTTCACCCTGATAGAAATGAGAGAGCAGACACAAAACATAAGATAGAAAATAAATCATTTTATACTTCTGTAATCTTATTGTACGACAACTATTGACTCATTTGGGTCTATTTTTGTCTCAATTTCCTTTATTGGCTGATACTTAAATCAAATGAGCTTTGACTTTGACTAAAGTCTCACCTGTCACTGGTGTGAGTGTACGTGGCGTATGTCAGCTCTCTGGCTCTGTGTAAAGCTTCCTGGATGAAACTAGATCCCAAATACACTGAAAAACACCATAAAATATTCAAACCTGCCATTCAGTTTTGATATCAGTTGACAAAAATTCAATAATGGAATTCAAATGTCTTACTGTGAAATTTATATGTAACTGACAGTTGTACTGTACAGAAAGCAAGAAGCTACACATTTCTGAAGTTCTTTCTTTTTTTCCCCCTACCCAGAACAATATTAACTGGATCTATAAAGTATACTTCAGTACCTGTTGTATTCTGGGAAGGAAAATGAGATGTGGCTGACAGCGGCAGACACAATATCACAAGTATAGATAGAATCAAGCATGAGAAAGTTTCCTGCAATGAGAATAATATACATAATAATATACTGTACAATTTCTTTTTTAAATGCAAGAATGTATATATATATATATATATAAATTCAAATGTCTTACTGTGAAATTTATATGTAACTGACAGTTGTACTGTACAGAAAGCAAGAAGCTACACATTTCTGAAGTTCTTTCTTTTTTTCCCCCTACCCAGAACAATATTAACTGGATCTATAAAGTATACTTCAGTACCTGTTGTATTCTGGGAAGGAAAATGAGATGTGGCTGACAGCGGCAGACACAATATCACAAGTATAGATAGAATCAAGCATGAGAAAGTTTCCTGCAATGAGAATAATATACATAATAATATACTGTACAATTTCTTTTTTAAATGCAAGAATGTATATATATATATACATTTATATATACATTACATATTATTGGAAAGTAAATATATATATATATTTATATATATATATATATGTGTGTGTGTGTACTTTTTGTTGCACTTACCAACCATGTTGTATCCATCTGTACGGTCTTGTATTCTCACTCTTGTTCTTGTAAAATATTTAACATTTTGTTCTTGCTTCAGACGAAAAGCATATGTAGGCTTGTGCACATTAATGTACAAAAATATTGTAAAAAAATAACAATGAATAGAGAAAATAAATATGTTCAGTTAAGTGTTTAAATATACAAGTACTAATACATCACCATCTGAACTATTATATGGTGTGTGACTGTACAATTCTGTGTAATTATGCATATGAGAGGGTTTAATTCGGGACTGAGTTTTATATGCTGGCTTTGGTCTGCAGGTATGTGCAGAATTCTGTTATCTGTGTGACTGGTGACAACAATTCAACATCAAACAATCCCGAACACACACAGAGTGACTGTCCCGCTCTAATAACCTCTCGATCCAAACACATCATCCTCTATCTAACGGGGTTAACGACACAATCACTCCTCGTGTTAATCATAGACAGCCACTGCCTTCTGAACAAAATGTGAGCAGTGGTTGCTAAGGTGCTCTTAGAGGGTCTATAGGGTGTTTTGGGTGGTTTCAAGATATAGCTTGGGTTCATCCTTGAAATTCTGTGGGAGTTTTTCGCCCAGTTTTATGATCTTATTATGGTCTAAGTAAAGTAACAGCACAGCTTTTCGCAAGATAACTCAAAAAATGATTTGAGGAAACATTCACGTCTGAAGCACAAATGCTGCAGGATGACACATACTGAACCTTAAAGGAACAGTTCACCCAAAAATGAAAATTTGCTGAAAATGTATGCACTCTCAGAATATCCAAAATGTAGATGAGTTTGTTTCTTCTTCAGATTTGGAGAAATGTAGCTTTGCATCACTTGCTCAGCAATGGATCCTCTGCAGTGAATGGGTGCCGTCAGAATGAGAGTCCAAACAGCTGATAAAAACATCACATTAACATTAAACCATTGCTTCTGACCAAAATAGAAGTCCATAATACATAATAACACTTCCTTCAGTCTAAAAGTTCATCGTTGTCCTCTCACAACAAAATCCACCCACATATTAATTTAGGACTGTTTCGGCTTGTAAATGGTTCTTGATCCGTGCATATTTCTCTCCTGACTCAGACAAGATCACTTTTTCACTGGAAGAAGCAATATTATGTATTATGGACTTAAATTTTAGCTGGAAGCGACTGTTTAAAATTAAAATGCCTTGATGGATTTGTTTCCTACAAACATGCAGTTTTTAATTTCTCAAGACATTAACTGATGGACTGGAGTGGTGTGGATTATTGTGATGTTTTTATCAGATGTTTGGACTCTCATTCTGACGGCACCCATTCACATCCATTGGTGAGCAAGAGATACAATGCATTTTTCCAAATCATTTCTGATAAAGAAACAAACTCATCTCAAGTGGCCTCAGGGTGAATAAATTTTAAGCAAATTTTCATTTTTAGGTGAACGTTTTCTTTTAACATTTAGTGTTAGGAGTTTATTGTCAATGTTTCCCGTAATCCGCCTTTTTCTGCCCACCTGTGGATGACACTTCTGCTGGCACAGGGACGATGTGATAGAAGACACACCTGGAAAAGAGGTCAGTGGAGCAACAGAGAAAAACAGACAGTTCTGAAAGTCTGATAAGAGAAATTGGAAAGTGAGGAGAACTTCGGGGATTCCAGGACGATGACTTTAAAAGGCTGTTGTTCTCGGCGGGTTTGATGCAGCACTCAGGACGAGTGCGAATATCTTCACACGTCTGACGGGAGCACGTGCCTCACGGACCTACACAGGAAACCAGTGTTAAGCTGGCACAAGATGTAAATGTGTTTGTGTAGCACAGCACGTCCATTTACAATCCAAATCTAGTGTCAGTGCAAAAATAATGAGCTTAATAAAATCCTCACAAATTCATTGCTAATACTCTTTCCATGCATTCAGATTACGTTAGTTTGCATGAAGAGCAATGAAGAGAGATTCTCTCAGGCATGCGTTCAAAGGAACAACACTTTCGACACAGTTATAAATGAACATGATACTCATATTTATTGTGCTTTTCATGAAGAGCAGCCTGTTAAACCAGCTGAGCCACATGGCATTAGTTACAAAAACTCTTTTAGTTCATACATTCACAATTATTTATAGTTGTCTCTGTTAAAAGAACACAGCTTTGTTAGTTTTCCCTTGTTTTACAAGGTTCTCAAATACCTGGAGATTAAAATTTCATTAAGGGTATTAATTAGATAAATATATATGCATTTATTTTTAATATATATATATATATATATATATCTCAAACGATTAATCGCATCCAAAATAAAAGTTTTTGTTTACATAATATATGTGTGTGCTGTGTATATCTATTATGTATATATAAATACACACACATGCATGTACATATTTAAGAAAAATATGTTACGTTTATATATTAAATATATTTATATATGATATAAATGATATGAATATAAATATATATATATACACACATGTAAATATTTCCAAAATATATGCTGTATGTGTATGTATTTATATATGCATAATAAATATACACAATACACACACATATCTTATGTAATGAAAAACTTTTATTTTGGATGCACTAATATATACTGTATGTATGTTTTTTTTAAGGGATATACTGTATATTCTACATAGTCCTAAAACCACATGAAAACACATTGGGCCTCATTAATAAACATGGAAGTGTAGATCAAAGCATTCATACATAAATTGTTGAATTCAATTTAATAGGATAATTTATGTGCAAATGGATTTATGAATGACGTAAAAAAGCCCATTGTTAATACTGTGTCAGCACCTTATTAAATAGCTAAATAGGAAACAGGAGACAAAATACTGAAGAACAGTTTAGACCAAGTCATGTGATTCCCACGCAGTGCTTTCACCATTTACGGCACAATATAGTCATAGTGCTGGTGTGAAAAAAACCCTATGAATTGGAATCTGCATTAGATTGACTGGAATGCATCACAATCTGAAATCAGCTGATCTGCCACATTATCTTCAGCAAGGCAGCTGATCCCAGAGCAGCTGTTTTAAAGAAACATGACCCAAACTACAGAAGGCAGGACGTAGTGTGTCCATACTGAGAGCAGCGCTGGGTCCTGGAGGCATATGTGGAGATCATGTGGACATGGAGGTCTTACGCTTGCTGAGACCACAGAAACCGGTCACAGCGCTCCAACATGGTCTGAATCAATGCTCTAAAACATCAGAGAGAAAACAAAGAAGAATGAATGCACGAGTACAGAAATTGTTAAACATTACCTAAATTTAGAATGGAATACAAGTACACTGCGCAGTATATACTGTACCCTGCCTACTATTTTCCAAAATACAAAAAAAATACTTGGTCGTAATGATATATACAGTACACTGCCTAGTATTTTCCTAAAATGACATGTTTAGAATGGAATACTACCGTTCTGTTCACTATATAATTTACACTGCCTATTATTTTCCAAAAACATATAGATCTGAATGGAATATTAGCATACTATGCAGTATGTACAGTACACTGCCTAATATTAGCCTTCCTGAAACAATATGACTACTAACGTACTATTTTCCAAAATAACAATGGCTAACAATGTCTAAATTTGAACGTCCATTAAAAATACACATTCATATGGCAGAAATAGTCAAAGTAGTATGCTAGTATGCCAGACAACCAATGTGTTCTAAATAGAATATCAGCATAGTGCACAGTATATACTGTACACTCCCTAGTATTTTACAAAAATAATGTCTAAATTCAAAATTGCATACTACCATACTACTCTTACTATTTCTCCCATATATTTATAAAGCAGAAATAGCAAGTCATATGCTAGTATGCCATTGTGAATTCAACCAATGTTCAGAATGGAATACTAGCATACTGGGCAGTATATACTGTACACAGCACACTATTTTACAAAAATCAATGTCTAAATTCAAAATATCATATTATCATTCATACTATTCTTACCATTTCTACTATATCATTATATGGAAGAGTAGTAGTAAGAAATAGAAAGGAGCAGTATGTTAGTTAGTATGCTATCCTGAATTCAGTCAGTATGTTTGGATTGGAATATTAGCTTACTGCGCAGTATATACTGTACACTGCCTACTATTTTCCATCCTAAAACAATATGTTTGTAATGAAATACTAGCGTGTTGCTTGCTATATAATGTATAATGCATACTATTTGTCTACATTTAAAATAGCATAACATATAGTCTTATGCTAGTAAGCTATTCTGAATACAACAAATATATTCGGAATGGAATATTAGCATGCTGTGCATTACATAGTGTAGACTGACTACTCCTACTACAAAAAAGACATATTCGTAATGGAGTACTACCATTCTGCTTGCTATATACTGTACACTGTCTACTATTTTCCCCAAAATAATGTCTAAATTCGAAATAGCATACTACCATACTATGTGTACTATTTCTTCCGTATCTTTATAAATCAAAAATTGTAAGACTTGTATGCTAGTATGTTATTCTGAATTCAACCAATATGTTCAGAACGGAATACTAGCATTCTAGGCAGTAGATACTGTACACAGCATACTATTTTTTTTATATAATACTAGCATACTGGGCAGTTTATACTGTTGACTGCCTAATATTTTACACTATTTATTATACCGCTCTTACTCTTTCTCCTATATAATATGGCAGAAATAGCAATACTATACTGTTTGCAATTCCGAATTTAGCCAATATGATCGGGATGGACTACTATTTTTCATAGTTTAATGTTTAAATTCAAAATAGCATACTACTATACTACTCATACAACTATACTATTTATAATTTTATATGACAAAAATATTATGTCGTATGGTAGCATGCTATTCCAAATTCAACTAATATGTTCGTAATGGAATACTACCATTCTGCCTGCTATTTAATATAAACTGCTTAGTATTTTCCAAAAAACAATTCAATTGAAATAGAATATTGGCATACTGTGCAGTACATACTGAAGACTGCAGAATGCTAAGTAATTTTCAAAAACTTAGCATACTACTAAACTTTACTTTCTATTTCAGATATAGTAAGAGTCATATGTTAGTATGCTAAATTAACTAATATGTTTGGAATAGAATACTAGCATACTGTGCAGTATATATTTTTATTGTATACTTTTATATATACTTATAGTATATACTTATATTTTATAGGGCTGTGACGGTAAAGAAGTAGCCTAAATAAGAAAGTTAAATACACCCTGTCTACGGGACGCGAGCGGCGTGGCGCAACACGACAAAATACTAGGCTATAGAACTAGAATTATAATCAGTGATGCTACACTAGATGCGGCACGACACGACATGACAAATCCACGAAAGTAAACTGCCTCGTTCTATTTATGAGGTACTGACACAAAGTTCAGTTTAATGTCCTGTTTAGAGACTCAACCGGCTGTTGTGTCTGGTGGTGACTAGAAGACGACCGATTGATCGGCCGATTTTTGGCATTTTTTAATTAATCTGCATCGGCCGATTGTGCTGCAAATTAGGCTGATTTATAGGCAGGCGCATCTGCGGGCAGCTAAGCGTTGTTGCGGAACACCGGAGAATCTCTCTCTGGCTGTGTGACGAGAGACGGAGCAACTCACACTCTACAGCTGCTTCTTGTTCACACAAAGCTTCAGCTAATGATGGCAAGGCAATGCAGACCGTTTCTTGATTCAAGTCTTCATCTTGAGATGAAAATGCTTAATAGTCTTAGTCACATTTTAGTCATTTGAGTCTTTCATAGTTTTAGTCGACGAAAAGTCATTGCATTTTTGTCAAATTTTAGTCATTACTTTTAGTCAAACTGCAGTAACCAACATTTATTTTGGTAGCTATTTTTATGTAGTCTTAAAAAAAAAGAAAAAAAAAGAAGTAATTAATTATTTTCTCTTTAGACCAAATCAATTAAGCTTATGAGAAATTTGAATCAAGGATTGAATTTGGAAAAACTTGAATGATGACAATTTTCATTTTTGGGTGAAATATCCCTTTAACAGTAGTGAAAAGGGAGCAACTTATAAAAATCATAGTTGTTCATATGTAATATATATAATGTATAATTTTTGAAAAAGAAGCAAAATTAGACAATAAGAGAAATACGAAAGAGATACAAATTAAACTCATTTTTCAGATACAGTAGGTTTACGTAACATATTTATTTAACATCTTTTGTTGGTTAACATTAATGACAAGGATAGGTACTTAATTAGGAATGCTGTTCCTTTAAGACGGAAAGCATGTACATAATATTGACACGCATTCAGTTTTCACCCACCCTTTTACATTCACTTAATCCATAACAGACTGCATTTACATGAGATACTCACACGATAGACATTTGGACTGCTGTGTGTGTATTTGAGCACTGAGAACTGATCGTGCCATGTATGCGAGAACTTTTTTTTCGTCGTTGTTTTTCATCGTCATCTTTGTTGACGAAATTAGTGGTGTCTGTCAGCAAACATAAACAAAAAGCATGCTTCAGAACTGTTTTGAGACGGTGCTTAAGTTTTGAGCCATGTATTATTACTCTGAATTAGGCTACTACTACTATTACTATCTTGTACCTTGCAATAATCATTTACTCAAACTCACTTTTATGAGATGAAGGAGGGGAAAAAAAGAAAATCGGCCAAAAAAATCGGCATCATATATCAGCTGCCCTGATTTCTAAATATCGGCATCGGCCAGTGAAAAATCCATATCGGTCGACCTCTAGTGTAGACACGGTTCACAGTTCCGCCGCCAAGCAAGCGGGCGTATTAACTCCTCGTCTGCACGCACTCTCTTTGAAATAGGAATCGTTCCCACATTTCTTGTTAACATCTACCATTTATCGCTGTCTCGTTTGTATTTGGCCAGTTTGGAGAAAGCCTCACCAAACCTGACCAGCCAGGCGTTTGCAATCACGGAAACTTGAAGACACTTGTACAAACGCAGATGGGTGACATGAATGGAGATGTCTCCAGATCGGCGATGTAGTATTTGGTTTCCCAACAAGGTTCATCGCCCAACACAAAATTAATTTGCTGAATGCAGAATAAACTGGAATTTCCTGCGCTCAAACCTGCCAATCTAAAGGAAACACTGTGTATGGCGTTTGAGGTCATTTGTGAATTACCATAGACTAAGTCTAAATAAAACAATTTGCAACTATTACTGTTATTACACTTGTATACAAAACTTCGTATTATGCTTGTTATATAGTGTGTGACATCACGTGCACTACCGCCAGTGGCAGTAGACAACCGCGTCACCACCGGGCAGTAGACAGCAACCGTCACAGCCCTAATATTTTATTGTATATACTTATAGTATATACTTATATTTTTAAAAACAGTACGTTTGGCATTGAATGCTAGTGTACTGCTTTCTGAAAAGGCCACTATTATTTTCCATGCTCTCACCTGTGCCGCTTCTCAGCCATACGAAGCAGATCGCAGACCAGCGTTGAGCGTGAACTGAGATCCACCTGTATCCCGCGCTCCTGGAGGGCCGTCAGGGCCCGGTCCGGCCCGAAGACCCGCACCAGACGCAGGATGATGTTCTCCGGGCTGACACGAATGCTCCAGTCAGTTGAACCGTCTAATAGGTCGGGAGAACTATCGCTTGTGCCGTCTGAACAGGATCCATTGGGACTGCTGGGCAGGGCTGAAGTGGGCGGGGCTTCGTTGCTTGAACTGATTTGCTGGGAGAGCTGGAGAAGCAACACCCACTCGTCAAAAGACTGAGGTACAATACCTGCAGAAAGACAAAGAGAGAGGCATTACAGACATAGAATAACTCCACAGTGTCTTTAAGTGTCAGTCAGACAACCAGGTTCTTGGTTAAAATAAACAAATTAAGTGACTTTGTATTGACAGTTTTGAGCATCTGTGTTTGTTGTACCATCATCCCCCTCTAGTAGTGTCATGTCGTCCAGTCTGCAGATGGCACTGAAAGCCTCGGGCCGCCGCTGCAGCTCTCTGCACAGGTACAGGTAACCCATCCAATACCTGAGAGACAAATAACACAGTCACAGTATACACAACTACACATTCTGATCCAATTCTATCCATTCTAATTCTACACTCACCCATGAGTTCTGCACTTCTCCAGCATCTTCTGTTTGGAGGCCAGATCAGCAGGCAGACGAATCAGCAAAGACAGTAGACGCCCATAACCCCAGCTGAAGAAATGAGAGTGCCACCTACAGCACAGGAGACAATTATAGAAATATAAATTATATATATATATATATATATATATATATTAGGGCTGTCAAAATTTTTTTTGAATTTCGAATATTCATCGAATTAAAAACAAAATCCACATTCGAATGCAAAAACTTGCTGATTCATTCAGGAGTGAAGTAAATGGTTCTTTATGAATGGTCCATTGACTCATTAGGCTTGTTCGACTTGAAGTGGATCATCACCATCAGATCGATCGGTGTGTGACATCAAAGTACCGCGAGAGCGATTAGAGAGCAGACGACTCCTTATGCTTTTGAATCACTCTCGCGGTACTTTGATGCCATGCACGATCGATCTGTGCAGCACCACTTCAAATCCAACGCTCCTATGGCCAATGGTTCAACGCGCCTAATGGTTCACCCAATTTGTTCAAAACGTGCATTAAGAAATGAAATGCAGCTGTGTGTTGCTCGGAGACGAACAGTTCTGCTTTGTTTTTATATTTTTGTTGGCAAAATTGAGCAAAACAGACAACACTGTGTCTAAAATAACACCATATTCACTTCTTATTTATTGAACTGTTTTATAAGATCAGTATCACATTTGTGTGATATTGCACTTATTGCTTGTGTTATATTGCTTTACTATATGATGTAAATATGAGACAAAAACTCAACCAGGGGCATTTTTGCCCCATATCTTGAATTTCAGGGACATTCTAACTACGTTCTCTAGGCTCCATCACTCAGTGAGCTGTTGCTCTGACTCATATTTGTCATCAATCAACTGTATGAAATGTCAGATGACCCACATAGGTCTGTTAAATGTGCTAATAATTATAACGCGTTATTTTTCACCGTAATTAATTAATCTAATTAATGCGTTAAATGGACAGCCCTAGTATATAGTATATATAGCATGTTATTTATATTACAGATATTAATAATTCCTCATATTTGTTCGTTGAGGAATCTAGTTACATATAAATAGTTTTTTGTACCTGGGCTGTCCGTCAGCAGTGAGTGTGTCATCCTTTTGAGGGGCATCATTGTATAGCGCCAGTTCCAGCCAATCCTGTCGCAGAGTTTCTGGCTGGAGAAGAGAGCCCAAGAAACACAACCTGGCAGATGACAAAAATAGTTTATTTGATATATTCAAAAACAAGAATACAACATCATAGGGTATGAATGGCTCATTTATAACCTTTACAACTATGATAAACAAACATCATAAAACACTGTATAACGAAACGCAGCCGTACCGCTGCTGCTCGACTCGTGATTGGACCAGATTGTCCAGATAAGGCAGGAAGTGGCTGGGTAAAGCCATGGCCATGATGTCAGAGGGGAGGATTGTGGGATAGAACTGCGGGTAGGCACGAACAGCCACCTCTCCGTGTTTATCATAGAGTCTGTAGAGAAAAAAAGCATTATATTCAATATAAATGACATATTCAGGTCTGCAGGTGGCCATATTGACATTACATATAGATTCTAAGCACATGTGTGGCATAAACTCACCTGTACAGGTGTGAGAGTAGCAGAGGTGTGTTCCAGGGCTGAAGTTCTCTCAGACTGCGCAGAGACTTCAGCAGATCGCCCTTCTGAATCACCTCCACCACCTTACTGGCCTGAGTGAACTCTACAACACGCCGCAGAATATTAGGAGAATTAATATGAACAGAAATGCAATAGCTCAGCCCTGAATCTTGAAAAAAAAAAAAATAAAATCTGCTGATTTGCAAAAGAGGACTAATATTAGCTAATTTGATGATGCTGAATTAAAAAATATCAATAATATTTTTCTGTCAAGTACAGTTTTTAAACATTTTACATATGTTTAATTGCAGCCCAAAATTAATAAGAAAAAAGTATTGGATTTAATTCAGCGAATATAATGCAGGGCTGTGTAATGATTCATTTGGTACATTTAAGTCATGTTGGAAAGATTGTATTAATGAGTTGAACCTGCATGAATGAACAATAAATCCAGTTGCATGAACAAAATACCATAGTACTGTACAATTATGATACAATATCTAACGATTCAATTTACAGCACATTCGGGAACTGAATAACAACATAAAGCAAAAACACATCTGAAGCGAATTCTTTAGTTATCATTTTGTAGATTTAAAAAAAACCTGTTGATTTTTATGAAAACCTGACTCTGACTTACTTTAGTATCACTGAGATGCTATTATAGTTCTAGGCTACTATCAGTTTTTATTATTATATTTTATTAATGTAATTTTAATTAGAGTTTTAGTTTTAGTCTTAGTTTTAGTCATTTTGTTGTGTTTTTGTCATTTGTATTGTTTTTTTTTAAATATATGCCTATATAGATATATATATACAGTATATATATATATTTTTTTTTAAGTTGTATTTTAGTACAAGTTAAACTAAATTAAAATGAGAAATGTTGCAACTAGCTGAAATACATTATTGTATGACTTAATATTAATTGAGAGACTAAATATAATTATACGTACTTTAAAAAAGAATTTGTCACACTGAAGGCTATTAAAAATGAACAGCAAATGGCTACACACAACTGTGAAAAACTTCTATTTCTAATTGTGCATATACAAAATACATAATTTCTCTTTTGCATTAATGTGTTTAAACCTATAAACTTGAGGTTGAAAACTGATCATTGAAATGACTAAATTAATGACAAAATTACAGTTTAAAAGTTTGGGGTTGCCAAGATTTTGAAATGTTTTATGCTCACCAATTCTGCATACAGTAAAAACAGTATATATTGTGAAATATTATTGCAATTAAAAAAAATTATCTTGTAATATAATATATAGTAAAATGTAATTTATTTCTGTGATGCAAGGCTGAATTTATTAGCATCATTACTCCAGTGTCACATGATACTTCAGAATCATTCTAATATGCTGATTTGCTGCTCAAGAAATATTTATTAATACCATCAATGTTGAAAACTTCATATTTTTGTGGAAACCATGATAGATTCAATCCATGAACAGAAAGTTATAAAGAACAGCATTCGTTTGAAATAAAAATCTTTTGTAACACTATAAATGTCTTTACTGTCACTTTGATTCAATTTTATGCATCCTTTCTGAATAAAAAGTATTAATTTCTCTTAAAAAAAAAAAAAATACTGACCCCATCTACTGACCAAAATTTCCAAATTATTTTATAATTATTTTCTAATTAATGTATCATATGCAAACATTCAACAGCTTATAATTCAACTTGACTGAACATCTTCCTGCCTGTATGCAGCGGTACGAAGCAGCGCTCCTCTAAACTCACATGGCTTTCTTTGTGGCGGCCCTCAACTCCTGCAGCTCAGACTCCGAGCTGGACTGCTCAGCATTCAATCTTACAGAGAGACAATCAAAAATCACAATAAAAACAATGTCAATATGCAAAACACCGATAGCAGCAGTCAGAAAACATCAATAGGGTGTCAGAAAGTAAAAGACTCACTCATGCTCGACTTCTTCTGGAAGAGGGGTCACTGTGGCCGTGACCTCCCCTTGAACCCCTTCCCTGAGGTCAGGCCGAGGCCACAGGTCTGCGTTCATCTGAAGCGTGTTGATCTTCTCGGTGGTCTTTTTCACAAAGCTCGAGACACTGACGTACACACATTCACAGACACAAAACACTGAGATAGTCATCAACATCGGCAATGATTGCCCGAAATAAGGAAATAAAATGCCGCTGATTTTGCATAAAGAAAACAAAGAGCAGAAATAACATGTAATCTTACCAATCACAGGCATCAGCATAAAATGAGATAAAGCAATATGTGACACTACGACGAAACAGGAAGTTACAGTTTTAAAAATAACCTGGGTACCAGCAGCTGCATTTTAATGAGCATTAATAGAATTTTGACTCTTCATTGGAATTTTCCTTCCTTGTGATCCAGCCAATCAGAGCAAAGCAGACTGGGTCTGGTGTGAAATTTAAGAGGAAGTGAAATTATTACAGTTTTTAGGGACAGCTGTATAAGTGTGTGTATGTACCTGTCTCGAACAGCCTGCAGGGCGACTCGTGGGGGTTTTGAGCGGAAAGGCAGCGGCAGAAACTGCAAGCTGATGTCTGACCTGTCGCCCTCTCCACGCACAGACTGAGAGTCTTCAGGACAACAAAAGGAGGAGATGAAATAATAGAGAGATGATTGGAAAGACAGAGAGAATAAAGTCAGAAGATGTGTAATAATTAAGCAAAAGCAAAGAATAAAGCAGATAATAATCATCAGAAAAAGAAGAATCTAAAACGTTCAAAACACCAGATAAATGATTAAACTACTGCTCATTGATGTTTTTAGTGTATTTTATTGCACAATATTTGACATACAACACACTGACATTCAATTACTACTATAAAACTATACAATTTTTTTTTAAATTCACAATATTAAAAATGATAACTTATATTTTTTGTCATAACCAGCTACAAACTTCATTATTTGTCAGTTGTTTGGTTTTTATTTTGGTCGACAGCTCTGCAAGCAGTGAAATCTCATTTGTCGGCATACTAAACCTTCAAATTGTTTATTAAATAGCAGTTAAGTTCTGATTGGTGGTGAGTTTGTTGCTTTGTGCAGAATTTTTGCTTGGATGTGAAAATAAAAATTGGAATTAAACTCATTTGCTACCTTAATACACATCCCTGGTCTTATTGTCCACGATTCATCTGTTGTATGTTATATGCCTATTTCATTTGCTAATCCTTCATTTTTTTCACTTAAAAAAATGTCCCTGTTTACATTTGTTTTCCTTGTTTAATATCCTGATTCACTCCGAAATATGTCAAATTAGTAAAATGGGGCATTACAGTATCTGTGTAGTGTAGTCTAAATATTTTTGTGTGTTGAAGAAAATCTCTTTTATGAAAGCCTGTTTTTTTTTTGCCATGAGATAAAAAAAAAAATGTCTTTTGCTTTACTAGTGGATACTCGCCTGTGTGTAATCAAACGCAGAGCAAAAGGCTCGTGACAGTTTTATTTTTGTTCTGGAGCGGATGATCCTGCGCACTCGCCACCAACTGGACAGGGGTGGGAATTACAGTTATAAATTACAATAGCTCACCCTCAGTGTAATCTGTCAAAGTGACGGAAAGCCTTCAGAATTTTGTGTCACTGCTAAAAAATATTCCGTCAATGACAGAACATTTTCGTTAACGCGACCTCTGATCTGTACATATGCCTGTGTGTTTTTGGACTCACGTGTGAGGAAATACTGCTCCTGCGGCTGCTGCAGGCGGAGTCCAGTGGCTCCAGTTTGCTGATCACTTCCTCCAGCTGACCAATCAGCTGCTCCTGGGAGGCGGAGTTTAGCTGAGCCTTAAGTTGCTCCAACCGATCAATGGGGAGGGACTTCCTGGCCTAAGGAGGAAACGCAAAAGAGTAAGACTTTATTTGCAATGGAGTACTAATGTAATATTTAATGCATACTGCACAGTACATACTATTAAAATAGTATGCGAAACAGTATGGATACTCTATGTGTTGGTTTTTGTATGTGTACCCTGGATGTGATAACGGTGTGCTGAAACATGCAGCAGATGGTGGTGGCGAGCGTCCAGTTCTCCCTCTTCATCAGACGCTCCACACAGCGCTCAGGTGACATCAGGGACAGGTGAGACAAACGTCCGTCACCATGTAGACAAAATAGCTCATTACGGAAAACTGAAATCTCCACCACATCTATAGAGAGAAGACGACAGATACAGATCCAAGAGCTATAAAATCAGGCCATACAATATATATATTTTTTTATAAACTTTATCAAAAATAATAAATATATAAAATTATACTGTTACTTTTTTAAAACATATTGTTAAAATATATTTACATGTTTTATGTTAATTATGTTTCTTTTTATATTATTATTACATTATTATGAAATTATGCTAATTTTATATTCAATATTTTTAGGAAGGCAGATAAAGATCCATAAAGAGCTGTAATATCAATATAATATAATATATTTTTTAAATATGTCAAATGTATTTTTTATTTTTACAAAGTTATTTTTATACTTTATATGTAGCTAAAATAAAATATAAAGTAACTTATATATATACACATACATACATACATACATTTATATAAAATATTATTCATTTTTATATAGCTATTAAATACATGTTAAAACATTAATACATTTATAGATAGTTAAACATGTATTTATATATATAAATGTATTAATTATATGTTTTAACATATGTATTTAATAACTATCTATCTTTTTTTTGAGTAAATGTATTTTTGTGCATTGTGAAGTTTCATACTTAAAACATCAAATAGGTTAAACAATGACCTCTCACCTTTGACCTCTGTCCACAGCAGAACCTGACCGCTGTGAGGGGTGAAGATGTAGATGGCCGAATCCGTCCAGGTGAGCAGGTTTTGATCACTAAGAATCACACGCACAATTCACAAGTTAAATATTAACCCAAAAACCTTTCTAACCAGAGACGTTATCATCACAGTCATAATAGCAGGTATGAAATATTGTGTTTTTACTAAAGGTCTTGTGTTATTATAGTACAGGGAGTGGTTACCCAAACTGGAGGAGTCTTGGGAAAGCCAGAGACTGTGGACTCGTCTGTGCGGGGCTGAAATGTGGCTCATTCCTGAAAACAAAAATACATAATATATAGAGAGAAAAGTATGGAGATACAAAACTAAGAGGCAGAACAACAAACACTAATGAAGTCACAAGTTAGTGTTAAACACACAAACACTCACTTGTAAGAGACGAGGGGCAGCGGTGGGCAGGCCAGCAGCTGTTTAAACTGGTGTGTGCTCAGGACCTCTCCACCGAAACTAGCCTCCCATATGCGGGAGCCGGGCCGGGCGCAGTACAGCAGCGCCTGACCCCGCTGACCCGCCGGACTCTGCTGGAGAAAACATGCCCCAAACTCTCCATCTCGCTCTTTATTACCCACACGCCAGAACTTCTCCCTGAGAGTGGAACAGAGACAGGAACAGAGTTAATTTCAACTGAATTTTCATTTTGTTTTTCTTGCGATTAATATGCATTTTAATCTAAGTTATGGTCTGAGAACATTGGAGATAATGTGATATGAATGTCTGACATGATATTTTGATCAAATAAAGAGCCTAATTCAAATTAAATGGTACATTTGTATTTAAAATATTCTAGTGATCTCTGGTGAGTACTTATCCTTTATTTAACTAATTGCTGGTATAGTTGTGGGACATCCCATGTCTCCTGCAAACACACACACCTCTCCGTGTCACACAGGTAGCAGCGGCTGAGAGACGAGACCACCAGGTGTCCGTCCGAGTAGCCCAGCTGAACCACACGTGAATCCACTGTGGTGATGGTCTGAATTGGGAAGATCACAAACGCAGAGCCCTGTTTGAACGCCAAACCACAACAAACACAGACAGAAACACACAAGCATAGATTAAAATCACTGGTTATCATTTAAATAAAATGCATTAAACTGTTCAAAACTTTTTTTTCTTTTGAAAGAAACGTGTGTTTTTATTCAGCAAAGACGCATTAAATTGATCAAATGTAACACTAAAGACATTCATAATCTTACAAAATATTTTGATTTTGAATAAATGCTCTTCTTTTGAACTTCCATTCAAAGAATCCTGAAAAAAATGTATTGCGGTTTCCACACAAAATATGAAGAAGAACAACCGTTTCAAACACTGATAATAATCAAAAATGTTTCTTGAGCAGCAAATCAGCATATTAGAATGATTTCTGAAGGATCGTGCGACACTGAAGACTGGAGTAATGATGCTGAGAATTCAGTTTTGATCACAGGAATAAATTACATTTTGAAATATATTCAAATACAAAACAGTTCTTTTGAATTGTAATAACATTTCACAATATTACAATTTTTACTGCATTTTTGATCAAACAAATGCAGCCTTGATGAGCAGAAGAGACTTCTTTCAAAAACATTAAAACGATCTTACAGACCCCAAACTATGAACAGTAGTGTATGGCCACACTGACATGCATAAAACTTCAAGTGTTAAAACTTTTACGTTTTCTTATACCTTCCCGAGTTTAGATGACCCAGCTCGGACGCAGGACACTTTCCCTCCGACATCTCCTGCAAACACTCGGAGGGCCGCGTTGTCCCAGCACAGAGATGTTACCGTCTGTCCTCTGTGCTCCCAGGACACAGAGACGCGCTCAGGACGGCCACGCCGCTCTAAATGCAGTTCCCACACCACCACCAAACCCTGACTGGGACACACACACATCAAAAGAGTCCAGACTGGCAACCAAAAAACACCAGGAGCGCATATAAACATGAATATGAATACCTCGTTGCTACAGCGATAAAGTCTTCATCATGGGGGCAGCATGAGACCTGCGTGACTGAGCCTTCCTATAAAAAATTTAAAAAAGCAGAACTAGAAAATTATTTTATGTTATGGCTGTTATTATTAATCTTATTATTATATTAAAGACATTAAAGTTTCCCTATTTTCACTGTTGCCTGTGCACACACTTTCTAGCTTATAAAAACATGTTTCATGGGTCAAAGCAGAGAATGATGCGCTCTGAGCCTGGACGCAAGTGTAAGTTGATGCCAACGCACTAGTATCCTGTGTGCTGGTGTGATCAATAACTATTTATAAACACAGGAAAAAGCAAATACGTCATGCATATACTGTTGCAGATTGCACAAAGTTTAAACACACAAATTAGGGCTGCATGAAAAAAATAAGAATACAAATAAAATAAATAAATAACATGAATAATAAGGTAACGCTTTAATTTAAGGTGTCCTTGTTACATGTTACATATACTTACTATTATAATAACAATAAATTAAGCATAATTACATGCAAGTAACCCTAAGCCAAACCCAAATCCTAACCCTAACCATATAGTAAGTACATGTAGTTAATTAATATTACTCAGTACTTAAATGTATAATTACACTGTAACAAGGACACCTTAAAATAAAGTGTAACCAATAATAATATTTATTATTATTAAATAAAAAATCTAATAAGAATCAAGAATATTTCACCATAAAATAAAATATATATATTTAAGAATAATAAAACAATAACAATTTTGTTTCACATTACAACTACAACACTAATATTTATGGTTTTAATTTCTTTATTTTCAAACGTTAAACCATTAAACTTTTATTTTGATGGAAAACTTTTATTTTTTTTGTTTTGAGTTTGTGTGGAGCAGCATTTACTGTGAACCAAGAGATGCTGAAAACACTGGATCACGAGCTGCTCACGTGTAAATGAACACAGTGTTCACTCAGTGCATATATTTATTTAATTAAATCGCAGCCTTTGCGATTTGATAATCACACTAAGCCATATTGCAGTTCCTGGTTTTACTTTGATTAATCATGCAGCACTAATGCAAATACACTGATATCTGATTGATAACGCTGGACAACAGTATTTCGACACTGCTGATAGTTCTGTGCACCAACTCAATCACTAACTGTGTTAAAGGGGAACTTGTGAAATTATTTAGTTGTGTACTTTGTGTGTGAGAATGAGTTTCTGCTTCCAGCCGTCTCTCTGAATGAGGTGAAGCCCTCCGGCAGACGTGCCCAGAGCCAACCACTTCCTGGACACGGAGAGACATGTGCACTGCGAGATACACAGACAGAGATAGAAGGATATTAGAGAGAATCTCACAAAATCTGCCAAGAACAAGAAAAAAAACCATAAATAAATACAAATAAATTATATAATATAAATATTATAATAAAATAAAAATATTTCTGCTTAAAGAAAGCAGCTATGAAGATAAGTTTCATGACAATTAAAATCTGTCTTTAATGTAATGCAACAAAAAATTCTCATTACTGAAATGCAAATAAAATTAATTATACGTACAATTTAAATTAGTATTCTTATATTAGTTATAACATTTTATATATTAAATTGATACATTTTTGTTGTACCGCTTTTATGCTAAATAAAAAAAAATTATTTTCTTTAAAACAATAATTGTATTATTATATTTCAATCATTTAAAGGCACAATATGTAATTTTCGCCGCTAGAGTGCGCGTATTCAAAATAAACAAAGAGACAAAGGCGTAGTTTGATGACGCCGTGACTGAGTGTGGAATCATGGGAGTTGTTGTCTTCATCCCCACAGCTGACGCAATCCGATGGGACTCGGGCAGAAAAGCCCTATTTAACCTTCATACAAACAAGAAATGTGAAATCACTGTCAAATAAACATCTCAGACTCACCTTATTAATGTTAATATATTTAAAGTCCCCATGAAATCAAAATTAAAGTTTTTTGGGTGTTAGTATCAATATGTTAGTCTTAAGGTTATCTATAAGGCAGTGTGCTACAAAACAGTGACAAAATTCGCATTTAGAAGATTTAAGCATTCAAAGCTTGCAGTTTGTCAGTTCCGCCAAAACGGCTCAACGCTTTTTTTGACGTCACATCGTACTTCAGCTTCTCATCAAACTTTCTGTCCAATCAAATGCTCTCTAGAATCCGAAGCGCCCGCCCCTACACTATAAAATAGACGCTGAAGCCATGGTTGAAATTGGTCACTTGTCCACAGAATTTGAATTTTCTGTACAGTGAATGGCACGTAGTGCACTATATAGGGGACAGGGAACAATTCAAACAGTGTAAATATGCTTTCCATTGAGGAAAAAAAGAAGTCTGGTTTGGCGCTGTGTCACGCTAACCACCGCACCGCACACACACTCTGCTCTGGTCCAGAGACACAATAGCACGGAGCGGATCACATGCGCGAGTATCGAAGAATTCTCTTCTGCTCACCAAGCCTGCATTTATTTTATCCAAAATACAGCAAAAACAGTAATATTTTGAAATATATTTACTATTTAAAATAACTGTTTTCTATTTGAAAATATAATTTATTCCTGTGATTTCAAAGCTGAGCTTTAGTATCATTACTCCAGTCACATGATCCTTCAGAAATCATTCTAATATTATGATTTGCTGCTCAAAAACCATTTATTATTATTATGTTGAAAACAGCTGAGTAGAATTTTTTCAGGTTTCTTTGATGAATAGAAAGTTCAGAAGAACAGCATTTATCTGAAATAGAAATCTTTTATAACATTATAAATGTCTTTATCATCACTTTTGATCAATTTAAAGTATCCTTGCTAAATGAAAGTAATCATTTCTATAATTTAAATTTCTATAATATAAATGTAAAAAAGAGCTTTAGAATGGTATAGTGTATAATGTAACAAAAGCTTTTTATTTCAGACAAATGCTGATCTTTGGATCTTTCTATTCATCAAAGAATCCTGAAAAAATGTTACTGTTTTAAATATTGATAATCAGCAAATCAGCATATTAGACTGATTTTTGAAGGATCATGTCACACTGAAGACTGGAGTAATGATGCTGAGAATTCAGCTTTAACATCACAGGAATAAATTACATTTTACAATATATTCAAGTAGAAAACTTATAGTAAAAATATTTCAAAATTGTACTGCTTTTGGTTTATTTTGGATCAAATAAATACAGGCTTGGTGAGCAGAAGAGAATTCTTTTTAAAAAAACATTCATGTTCAAAAACCTTTGACTGGTAGTGTAGGTTGATTATTCTTATAGATTGAAACGTGCTTCAACCAGGATAACGAGTATGAAACGTGCTCCGAGTTGCTTCAGAAAACTAAAAAATTGAGCATTGAAAATGCAAACTGCTTGTCTGCCAGCAGGAGGCGCTTTGAGAGCGGCAGAAACAGCGGTTTCTCCAGTAAGGGCTGTAATCAAAGCAGCTCTGCTCATGAACGCTTCCTTATCAGATAAAATAAATGCCATCAAAACTTTTCTGAAGACAATCAGTTCCCTTCAGAGATACATTCATATAAAACACCCGCGACGCGTTTTGATTTTGAAACGTGCAGTGTTCATGTTTATTCAACGAAGTCAAATGCTACAAATAAATCAATGTATGGGAAACACCGGTAATGTATATCGAAAAATCGGAAATGTGTTTAAAAATCATATCACCGTTATTGAAAAAAAATATATCGCGATAAATATTGATATTAAATTATTGTCCAGCCCTAGTTGCAATGCAAAAAAAATGGTAATGGTAATTTTCTTCATGCTAAACATATTTTGAGATTTTTTTCCTTTTGGTTTTTGGGCTGAAAGATGACCCAAACAGGTTTTGTTACATTCATCCACTTACTCTCCATAATTAAAATAATTCTTATTGCAGAAAATCAAATAAACAGAACAGAACAGAAACTAAAACACGCTTGATGAAAAGTAAACAGCACCAACCACAATTCAGGTCAGTTTGAATATCAGATGCCATATAAGCCGTTATTATCAAAACTTTGACTGTTTGACAATAGTTAGTTCAGTAGGTAAATGTGTGATTTACTTTGATTCGTCCCAAGTCCAGTCGCAGGGCGGAAAGGAGGGGGTCCAGGCAGTCAAACTCTGCCAGGACATGTGTGCAGGACTCCACAGGAACCACAGGAATCATCCTGCAACGTTCTGAGAGGAAACAAGAGTATTGGATTTTTTTTTTTGTAGGAATCATTACTGCATGCAGCATGTTTGTCTAACCAAAAAGTATTTCGGTGCATCATAAATACATTCCTAACAGCAGCTTTGGGCAAAATATGCATACATGGCATGTTTGAACAAGCAACCAATCAAAAAAACAATGCTAAAGTTCAATAAATTGTAATGAGGTACACAAACACTCAAATAGCCTAATTATTCAAGCGCCCAATCAGCAGCACCTCTGGTCATCATGCAATTACTGAAATAAATGAACTTTTCCACGACATTCTAATTTATTGAGATGCACCTGTACACTGCAAAGGTGGCACAGAAGCGCTTCTAAAGAGGCATTTAGGTGTGTTTACACAGACTGTTTAATGCTGCTTAGAGGTGGCATATATGCATCTTTACACAGTACTTTAAGGGCTGAGGTGGGTCTGAGCAGGCATAATTTAGTCTGGCTTTTATGCTGCTTTACACAGAATTTTGAGCAGGCACAAAGCAACCTTAACTTGGCTATGTAAAGATGCTGAGGCTGATGATTCCCAAAAATGCGCCCTCAGTAGGCAGCACAGTGAGCTCACTAGGTTTTGAGACACATCCCTACTAAGTGTCATATGATTTCAGGGAAATACAATTGAAAAAGCATGACTACCACTCTCCTCCTTTACTTCTTTTAATGATTTTCTGCCAGAAGACTAAAGGACTATAATATATATGCAGCTACATTAATGTACCAACTAAACAAAAACAAAAACCCAGTTGCAGAGTGACAGATATCATCTATCTGGGAACTGTCGTTTTCTATATTTGTTTTTTTACACATTTAACAGTAAGCAGAAAAGAAAAAACGCGTACAAGCGCATGCATATACACACATTTAATCACTCCCCCTTCGCCTGAAACACATGTTTACAAGAATTCAGTTTGTAAAACACTTTAGTTACAAATCAAAGCGACGCGTTAGCCGATTAGCATGACCGTCAATCACGAGATCTGAGCTTAAAACTCGCCAAAAACCGCATGAAACATCGAACAAACTTGTTTTTGTTGAAGTCTGTTAATCGCGTTGTGTCTTTAAACAGTTTAATAAATGTGAAAGTTGATCCTGAGCTGGAAGCTCGGGTACTTTCACGACCAACAACGTTTTAGTTTCTATTTCTCCTCCTAATGAGTAACGTTATGTCATGTACACGTCTGAGGCAACATAAAACAATACTTTTTAAACGTTGTTTAAAAAAAGTTTAACTTATTTGAGGTGGTAAATGTGTCACCTCAAGCATTTCTATAAGTAACGTTAACGTTATCTAACATCAATTAAACCATATAATACGCGTTTACCTCCTCCTGAGCTCCAGGCGCATTTAAATCTGCGAACTTTCCAGAAATGTAGTGAAACCCAATCATAAAGTGTGTAAAGTGAAGATCGTGTGTGTTGTTTGTGCCGCTGTGTGTTTGACAGCTGACTGAAAACTGACCGGCGCTACTTCCTCATTAGGCTCCACTCACTGTGAGGCGCAGTGATTCACACTAAGCGCGGGGAACTATTTCTGGCGCCTTTGGACAATATTTGCCATCAAGCACTTGGGAACTTTACATATTAAATATATTATCAAAGTAAATAAATCTTTTAATCATGCATTAAAAGTTCAAGTTTTATTAAAAAACATCTGGTAAACAAATAACTGTCACAGACGCGTAGGTGTTCTAGCAGTAGATTGGGGTCCACTGGTCCATTAAAAGCTCTTGCTGGTATTGATTGATATTCGAGATGCCCTCGAGAATGAAGCCTGTTTCATCAGCAAGCAAAAATAGCAAAGACCCAACCCTCAAACATCTTACAACCTTGAAGTGAATGTGTTTAAGCACCGGATTCAGATATAGATGTATGCATTTTATTATATAAAGACAGCCATCACCAAATTCAAGCACATAATGACTAAACTGAACTGTAAGGTGGGTCTTTCTTGAGAAGTTATTATAACATACAGCAGTATTGATTATGCTCTGGTCCTGCTGCATGATTTGATAAGTGACCTACTGTAAATGCAAAATCGTATTAAATATTACTTCTTCATTTTCAGTTGCTCAAAATCTGTTTAAAAGTTTGGTTTGAGCATGTTTAAGAACATTATTTTATTTATTAAAATAAATAAATAGAAATATATATATATAAATAGAAAAATGCAAGTGATAAAAATCGATACAATAGTTTATAACTTTATAAACTACTGTAAATGTATAAACTATATTACAATAGTTTATAAATGAATAATATAAATTTGTAAATTGATAATATAAATTACCGAATTATTATTTTTGTTATTACTATTGCTTCTTATTTTGTATTCATTTTCATCCTTTTTTTTTTTATTACATAGCCTATTATTTATATATGCCTGGAAAAACCATGTGTGGTATCTGTACTGCATTTATGAAGATTTAAAAATAATAATTTAAATAAATAAGAATAAAAAAATGATTCAAACATAAATAAAAAAAATGATTATTAGTAATGGCAATTAGTTAATATATTAATTAATTTTAAAAAACAAAACAAAACAAAAAATTAAAACCCCCCGGTCTAACACACGCACAAAAGCATGCACGAACACACTTTCTTATCAGGCATCACATTCATTAGAAACGGAACAATTCTTGTGCAAAACAGTCCAAATACAGTGCTTCCCCTTCTGGTTTTCAGTGTGTAACATAACAGCTTCCTCACTGTATGTACACTTTGGTAAATGAGTACTTTGAGGAAGCTCTTTTAACGCAACACACACAAACACACGACACCAGTTGAAGAGTTTAAATCTTGATTTTATTTGCAATAACATCCACAACTCAGTGCAGCTAGAGAAGACACGTTATAAAGCAGTGCGGATGAGCGTGCGCACGCGTTTGTGGCACACGGATCAGTAAATGCACTACATAGAAATTATTAATATTTATTTTTTTACAGTATTGCTATATCCCCTCCCATTGGCGTGTCTTGAGCAACTGATTCAGCCTCAAGTCTCGGGAGGGTTGAACTGGATTGCAATATCCGGTTTGTAAAGAGTCCTCCTTATCATTGACTTGAAAGCTTTTCCCTCAAACGGAGTCCTTTGCATTAAACGTTGTAAGTTCCTGAGAAATCTTTCCACCGATATTATTACTGAGCCCAGTTTGGTCATTGTAGAAATACAACACTGTTAAAATTTCACTTCTTACCTAGGAACTGAAATTATCCACTGAAAAAAACAAAAACGGAACGAACAAAGTAAAGAGAGAAGATGATAATTACAGTTATTTGTGACTGGCGCAGCCCATCTCCACGCGGACCAATACGATTACAGAATTGGCTGCTCCAAGCCCCTCCCCCAGGCAGACATGCTCACTAGCACCTCCAGCTCTGATTGGCTGGAAAATCCATCCATAAGGCTCCATCCGGCCCAAGCTGGGAGAGAGTGTCTCTGTTCTTCTCCCTCTTTCTTTAAATTCAATCACCCAGAGTCTTTTCTCTCTCTCCTGGATTTCTCTGCATCTCCTCAGGTTTTTCTCATCATTCGGCGCGTTTGCCAGACTTGGAACTTGCTGTACGCAGCCTGAAGCATTTCCTCCAGGTGGCCCGTTAGCTGTCGCAATCAGACAACACAGGAAAATATTATGCATTTCCACTGTAAGTGCATCAAAAATATTGATCGATGAAAAAATATAGATTACATGACCATGCAAACCCTCAATATCAAAATGGGACTGATTGGAGAAAATCCAAATACAGTAATAACATCAGAAAATTCAGACACTTTACACCTCAAATAACACATTTATGCATGTAGGAACTGTATTTTTTATTTTTATTTTAGAACTTATTTTGAACTCATTAAAAACTCATCAGTCCTCTGGTTTTCCTCACTTTCAACTGTGATCATTGACTGTCGAAACAGACCAAAGACAATAAGCATAACATTTTTTGGTTTATTAAATGCACAATATTTTGTTTCAATAGGATTTGTTCTTTAATATTTAGAATTTTGAGGGGATTTTATGGTACTAGACAATATTTAACTCTAAATTACGCACCATTTATTTTTATATAACATAATACAAATATTAGAAACATATTTCATATGATTTTGCATTAATACAGTGTTTAAGTTAAACATACAAATCTATATTACCTAGTTGCTTTTAAGTGTTTTCAGACATTATTATAATTATAAAATATAATAATAATAATATAAATATTATACAATGTTATACTATTAAATTATATTATATTTTATCATTATAATTTAATTATAATAAATATCATAATTTCTATTAGGTATTGAATTTGTATTTCTATTTAACTTCAGGAAAGACTGCTTCATTGTGGCTGATTTGTAGATTGTACCCCCCAATGATTCAGACATTATTATAATTATAAAATATAATAATAATAATATAAATATTATACAATGTTATACTATTAAATTATATTATATTTTATCATTATAATTTAATTATAATAAATATCATAATTTCTATTAGGTATTGAATTTGTATTTCTATTTAACTTCAGGAAAGACTGCTTCATTGTGGCTGATTTGTAGATTGTACCCCCCAAAAAAATGCTCTTTATTTTGATTTTTTTTTTTGTATTTCCCATTAATTTCCCTTGGCAGCCATTTTTGACTGCTAAGATCACAATTGTGATTATTTTTTAAAGCATTTTCACAGAAGTCACCAAGCCTCATTAAAAAAAAAAATTCAAAAACCCAAAACATATTTTTTTGTTTTCGTTTAAAATGACCACCACTGATTTAAACAGTACACTATCCTGAACCAGTTCTTCCACACAGCTCTAGAAATGATCAATTCTGGGCTGTCTTTCTAATAGCAGCAAGATGAGCATTAATTATTCATGTTCACTCTAAGTAGTAGAATCCATTACAGTAAATGGAGGGGGCGTGGCCTTACGTTCGTGCTCAAATACTGCTGTTGGATCTTTTCTTGAAAGGGGCGGAGCTTTGTCACCTGGAATCTCTCCAGGTTAGATTTCATCTTTACCACCTGTGAGCAGGAGAGACAGATGAAACAAATCATGCTGCAACAAAACAATACTACTTTAGTATTTTAATTTGTAAATATTAATTACTGAAGGTGCACTTCTTGACCTTTTCCTCCAGGAAGGGAGTGTTGACGGGGAAACAGGACCAGAAATGTCGGAGCAGCTCTCCGGCAGCTGTATATAAGTGCTTCAGCTCGCTCTGAACATCAGTTGGCACTAATTCTACATAAATAAACACAAAGAGAGTATTGATCAAGTTAATGGACAGTAAAACGCCTTAATGAGGCTTAAAACGCCAGCTTTAAACTTCTTGCATTAAAAAGTGCATTCAAATATCAGTGGAAGCAACATTTGATGTTATGATGGGATGAATAGACAGTCTGAGGTCAAACGCTCACGGTTTATGGTCTGTTGGCCTCCTCCCTGCATCAGAAGCCCTCCAGGTGACAGCGCTGTGATGGCAGAGCTCGCCGCATTGCTGGACATCACCTGAAACAGGCCAGAAAATACAATATAATAAAACAGACTAGAATCCAGGACCTTTAGCCATGCATGCCAGTGGTGTACCTGCGTCAGACGGGGTTTATAGTTCCTCATCTCGTGCTGGATAATGCTGATGGAGTTGATAATGTCTTGACTGGTGGTGTAATGCTGTGACTGAAGAGGGATCGGGCCATGGGAATATCTTGCAGGAACAAACAAACGTAAAATACAAAGCACTTGATTTGAAGATTCACAGACTGTGAGAACACGGTGTCAGGCAGATACAGAATAAAGGCGCTGGATGTTTACCTGTCTGATTTCTTCAGGTTCAGAGCGATGGTCTGACGCCCAGAGTCACCCTGAAGGTCATCGTACTCTATGGATTCTTGCAATTTTACCTGAAGAGCCACAAAAAAAAAAAAAAAAACTGTTATGTAATTTCTGGAAATGTAACCATCTTATATTTTTCCTAAATACTGAATATATTTAATATAATTTGATAATACAAAATATTAATTAAATATAAATAAATTAAATATAATACATAAAAAATATGTAATTTAAATAAATGTTATATATATATATATATATACACACATAATATACATACATGCATTTCACAATTTTGACTTATGTCTAGACTTTTATTATATTATACATGCACATTAGGTCCATATATATTTGGACACTGACACAATTTTCATAATTTCGGCTCTATATGCCACCAGAACAGAATTAAAAATAAAACAATCAAGATGAAACTGAAGTGCAATTCAAACACAGCAATTATATAACTATATAATTATAGTATTATAGTATAATATAACATAAAATGCAATTACACCCATTTTTATACACAGTCCCCCCATTTTCAGGGGCTCAAAGGTAATTGGACAAATAAATATGATCATAAATAAAATGTAAATT